TTTTACCTAAAAACACAATATAATATAAATTAGGTTGAATTTAATAAAAAAGACAATAAAATATCATGATTTAATGCCACAAATAAGTGTATAAACTACACTTATCAAATGGCAATGGAGATAGAAACAAGGGTGCACCATCCCAAATTTCAGGTGTTAATTGGTGGAGTTGATATCCCATGTTTCTGGGATTTGTAACAAAAGAAATTCACATGGGATTTTCATGTGCAAATCGAAGGACATGCCATAAAACATGGAACATACCAATGATTTATGTATAATTCAAGAAAATCACGGAGGAACATGCAGATATTAATGAACCACAACCTTAGAAAAATAGCATCTTATTTTCTTCAATTATTATTGGACTGATGATACTTGTGCCTGAAATTAGAAAGAATTTTGTCAGTGTTTCACAGCTAACTTCGGACAATAACGTATTTATTTATATATAGAGTTTCGTTCTGATTGTTGTTACGACAAAAAATTAAATTGCTACAAGGGAAGCTTAAAAGAAGGTCTATATAAGTTGGATGTTCTCACCACTCAAAGGCCAGTCCACCGCCACCTTTACTCACCATCACCACCGTGTTTTATAAACCGAACTCACAAAACCACCAGAAAGACCTTAGTTTTTTACGACATTAGTTTACATCGCACAGTAAACTAGACCATTTACGTTATGCCGTAAATGTGTACCATAATAATCCAATTAGTAGAAATATTTAGGCATACATTGAGGGCACGTTGTAAATTGGTACCATAAATGGTTTATTTTTGTGATTTGCAAGGAGTTAAATTATTTTTGGGATAGCTAAATTGTTGATTAAAGAATCAAACTTCGATATGAATCGATAACTATGTACTATTTTAATCAATTATTTTTTGGCTAATAATCTATACTTTTTTGGTATATCGCTGTCAACTATTTGAGATAAGCTAATGACTCTACTATTTGAGTAAGCCAATATGCCAAAATGTTTTCATAAATGTAATAAAATTGTCGAATAGACAAATAATAACGAATTTCATATAACATACTTTAAAAATAATGTCTCATATTGCCGTTTGTATACGAACGTATATACCTACAAGAATAAGAAATTAAATTTTATTTTTTTAAAAAGTAATTAAATTTACACTACAATTTTTCATAAATGCATTATATTTTAATTACGTTAAAGGTTCATACCATTTACACTTATGTTCTCAAATTTCTCGTAGTTTTTTTTTTTTTATCATCGATATTTCATTAATTGACACATTGTCCGTGATAGTGATTTTCGTCCAATTATTGTTCTCCGAAATAAGGGGCAATTATTTAATCTCACTTTTGTAGTTTTATTTTTTACTTATTTTAAAATAAGTGGTAAATAGATCTTTTTATGCCCTCTTGGCATAACTTTTAAGCAATAAATATCATCATTGACAACTATGATAACTAATGAAAGGTTAATGATACTAATAAGATGGAAAAAGTAGAGAACACAAGCAGGCAACAAGTAAATAGCTTAATATTAAGCAATTGTAGTGTCAAATGAAATAAGTAACTTAAAATTAAATTTTACTTATTATTAAGTACTTATTTGATAAAGCTTTTGTTTATGAAAAAAGTTGGTCAAATTTAAGCTTTAACTGCACATTTAATTTATTAGTTTTTATCAATTTTCAACAACACCATACTACCCATAGGATCATACTGCATGTACATAAAGGTTGACACATTAATTTACACCTATGCGAGTCAGCAGATTTTAGTACATTGATTTTGACAGCACATTTTTCCAATTAACTGTTAAATTTTTGACATATGGGGAGTGTCAATCACGATGTACACTTTGTGTACAAGTAGTTTAATCCCTACCGTAAGCACACTCGATTCCTTAATTCTAGATGATAGCATAAAATCTGTGGTTACAGATTGCTGTGATGCCTCTTTGACCCCAACTTCTTTGTGGTTTTGATCTTCGTTTTCATTATCTCTTTCAAGATCTTGACTAATAAATTAAAGCCACCGACGCTATTATTTCAGTTGAATTTTTGGCAGACTTTTTCTTTTGTACTTTTAATAATTTAATGTGAATTATGATACAGCAATAATGAGGAAATTATAAGTCACTTTTTAATTATGATGACAACAATAATCAGGAAATTGTAATTAAGTAACTTTTATTTGTAGATTTTCTATTGAATTTTCACGTCCATCTCAAAATGTCAATCGTAATAAGGACTTCTTTTGCAAGATTTCCTATATTTGCTTTCTACTTGTAGAAAAGTTTAGTGAAAAAGTTAATTTATACCAATTTAAAGTTACTTTATATCAACTTTCTCTAAAAACTCTTCTAATCATACAAAGCATTCCTAAAAAATTATCGAAATATGTTTAAAAGCTGCTTCTTAAAACCGAAAGCAGCTTTTGACTTTTCAAAATCTCTATCAATCATGCCCTAAGAATTGTATGAACCCTAATATAAGCTGGTTTTTATTTTTAACTTACTCTTGCAAGATTTGAAAATAACTACGTCAAAATCTGATTGCTCGTTTGAATAATAGACAAATCAAATTGTTTGTTTGAATTTTTTGAACTCTGATACCATTTTGAGTTTTACAAAGAGCATGGACCCAAATATGAAATCCCCGCACCACCCCAAAAAAAAAAAAACCGACATACATCGTGTGTAGGTCACATAATTTAGTTAATAGCAATAATTGATAGAAACCGTTATCGAGGATTAACTTAGCTAAATTATGAAAAGTCGGGATCTCGAATTTCGTGAAACATGGAGATGAAGTGTGCAATTTACTCTACATACATTAACAATGACAATCCAAGAACATGAAAGAAAAAGTTGATTATGCAATCTCCGATAAAAGAGGATGTTTTTTCCTTTGATTGATTATGAAATCCACTGCTCCTATTTGTTTAATACATATAATCTATAGCTTGATTGACTTTATTTGCTTAATTCAATAATTTAAAAGTGGTCCTTTTCATAAATTCACACGTATGCATTTTGTGTCAATTCAAGATGAAATTTAAATGAATAAACGAGTTTTCAAAGATAGTTAAATTTCTAGTGATGTAATTCAAGATTTAGTGTAAAAAACAATCAAAGATTTCGACTTCAACATAACGTGTAAATAAATTAAAAACTTACGTTTTAAAAATTAGCCCTCGACCCGAAAAAGATAGAGGATGAAATAAGGTCGACCTACCCTACGTTTAGAGAAAATAAATATAAACTTTGCATGAACCGGGTTCGGGTGGTTTTGGTCCCAAACTAACCGATTTCGAGATTGAACTGATGATTTCTTGAGTGATTTTGGTGGGTTTACATTTATTTATTTAATTTCAGTTGAAGCAGCGAGCTGATCGGATTGGGTAACGATAAGGGGTTAACAACTATAGCTGAAACTTTTTTGGGATACAAAAAAATCTTTTCTTTATCTTTCCTTAATTTCTGCTTGAAGTAAATTTTTAAGGTCAACTGTAAACTGTCTTTTCATGAAAAAGGTGGCACTATCAAAGTTAGAGAAAGATAATAGAACACACAGAAATCTGCATTCTTTTTCAACAATTTCTGCCGAGAAAAGTAGAAATCCGTGCCCAGCTGAGTTCCCATTGGTTGCAGTATTTCTTTTCTCTCTCTCTCTCTCTCTCTCTCTCTCTCTCTCTCTCTATCTATCTATCTATCTATTGCACGAACCTGAATTAGGTCCATGAGAGGTACTAATCTGCCTCCTTGAGTTTTAAATTATCTTTTAGTTAGTATTTCTTTATTAAATAAATTTGAATTTAATTTCAAATAAATTTCGAATATTATGTCTTTTAATTTTATCATTATCTTTTAGCTTTAATAATTATCTAGACTCTAGTTATTTCTTTAAATAAGGGTTGTAAGCTAGGCAAAAAAAGTTGTTTTTGAATTGAAATAATAGACTTTGGAGTTCTCCAACATATTATGTTCTCGATATTTGATATTAAAAATCGATTAAGAATTCTCTATACTCGTGTACGAATCGAAGATTTTTTGATTCCTAAATCTCTAGTATTTTTAGAAATCAATAAAATTAGAGGTTGACCATGTTGTTATATTCGTTTGGAATCAATGAAACTTCAATAGCAAGTTCAATCATCATTTATAGCCCTTTCACCTTGTATCAGTATTTATCTAGATTCCAATTATTTCTTTAAATAAGAGTTGTAAGCCAAGCAAAAAAAGTTATTCCTCTAAATTAATTTTGTTTGGTATTCTTAGGAAACAACGGATAATCGTATTCAATGAAACTTCGATATTGCATTTGTTTATTATTTCTACACCTAAGTTTTGATTCTGCGTTAATCGAAATCTGAATAATGTTATTAGCCCTTAGTTATGTGGAAAATTGAGTGAGAAAGCTCATTCATCATGCATGGCACATGATAGATGTATATTGTCTGAATATAATATTACTCCTTTTAATTATTTCAGAAGAGTGCTGTATTATTATACTTAGAAAAGTAGGAATTTAAAGGCAATATTTAAGAGGAATATTGAATTATCATTAGTACAATCTTTTTATTGCTCCTGAAGAAGTACAAATTTGAAAATTACAATATCTCGAAAGAAAATTTTTTTACTGTTTTTGAATAAGACAATTTAGCACAAATTAGTTTATGTCCCACAGAACTACTTTATACATTAATATTTTTAAAAAAACATTGTTTTATTGCTTCTGAAAAGCATAACTTTATAAGTTTCAATTCTCGAATAATGTTATGTTGGGCCTCTCGAAGTAACACAAATCTAAAACAATATCATATTATTCGCAATCATATTTAACTATGTTTATGCTATCGAAAAAGCATAAGTAAATATGATACAATTAGCGTCTGTTTGCCGGCCATTTTTTAATTTTAGACATTTCTCAAGTATCAATATGGCTTCTTTGTGTATTTTTTGCTTCAGTTTCTATCTAACGTGTTTTATGATATTCAATATGAGCTATTTTTTAATACCATGCTGGGAAGTCTATTATGGTAGATTGACCACCCGTTTATTGAGCTTGTAAATTTAAAAAAATTGGGGAGCTTCTATGTCTTTCATTTAGTGTTTATTGTCCTATTAAAATGGATTAAAATCATCACCTTATCTGTAATGTTTGAAAGAAGGCAACAATTCAATCCGTGATAAAAAAAAAAGGGGGGGGGGGGGGGGGGGGGGGGGGGGGGGGGGGGGGGGGGGGGGGGGGGGGGGGGGGGGGGGGGGGGGGGGGGG